ATAGAGCGTCGGCCTGCGGACTGAAGGGTCCCAGGTTCGATTCCAGTCAAGGGCATGTACCTTGGTTGCGGGCACATCCCCGGCAGGGGTTGTGCAGGAGGCAGCTGATCGATGTTTCTCTCTCATAGATGTTTTTAGCTCTCTATCCCTTCCTCTCTGTAAAAAAATCAATAAAATATATATATTTTTAAAAAGTTTGCTTCCAGGATGGAAAGGAAAGAAAGATGTTGTGGGTTAGATTCCAAACGGACCTAAGCAGACTAAAATCCTGGGGTAACAACTAGATGACCTGCTAGAGGAGTCAGGGTCAGGGCACCACCCCAAATGCTCAAGGACAAATAGGACTAAGCAGCAATCTGTGACAAGGTCAGAGCTAGCAGGGATCCTTCAGATCACCTTCCCTCTTTGCTTTGCAAATGAGGAAATTGAGACTCAGGGGAGGGAAGGAACTGAGTCAACCAAGGTCAACGGCCTAGATATCTATACAATGACTAAACCAGGGCTGAAAGCCAAGTTGCCCAGCTCCTATACTAGCCTCATTCACCCTCCCAAGGAGGTCCAGTGACCAAATAGCCATACAACAGGAGGATTTCATTTCCCTCCTGCATGTGGCACTACCCACACAATGCCAAAAATGACTCCAAAGGAAATTCCTTAGCTGGGAGTCCTACTGAGAACCAGAATGGAACTTGGAAAAGAACTAAATTCCTTCTGGGGTATTTCAGCCAATGGAGTGAAGCCCAGAAATCACTGCTGTTTTCTGTTTGGGGAGATTTTTAAAATATCTATCTTTAAAGAACGAAGAGGGACTATAATGCTGCTAGAAAATAAAGTCTTTGCTTTGAAATATATTGAGGAAAAGAAAAGAGGGGACTCTACATATATTAAAATAGACCAGGTCTCAGCCTAGTGCTGGGTAATTAACCCTTGCCTTTAGGTTTTTCCTAAAGCATTTACCAACAGAGCTTAAAATCACAAAGAGAAAGAGCCTTTGGGGACTCAAAATGGGGAGGGACTATCAACTGTAAAAGAAAGGGGAAGAAGAGGAGGAGTAAGTGCTCTTTATCAGGTAATACCACAGACAATGCATTATTTATTTCTTACCATTGCCCTCCAAGGTAGATAGTTTTGTTCCCATTTTGACGAGGGAAAAAATTAGTCTTAAAGATTTAGCTTAAGTAACTTGCCTAAGGCCATACGACTGGTAAGCAGGAGAGCCAGGAATCAAGTGTTTCTTAACCCCGAATTTCATGATCTTCCCTTACGTCATGCTGTACCATGACATCCAAGCTCCTTACTTTCTCTAGGCTTCAGTTCCCTATCCATGACATTAGGGCCCAATATCAAGCATCTCTAATATGTCTTGCAGCTCTGATGGTCTATGGATTGACCATAGTTAGTGATTTTTTTTTTTGGTTCTCAATGCTCCTGACCCCCAAGAAGAGCTCTTCCGCTGGGCTGGTCCCCAGTCCCAATGAGTTTGAGGGAAGTAGATCAGGGCAGCACTTCTTGCTGACCCCACACTGAGTATTTCAGCCTCCAGAACCACAATTCAGTGCCTCTAGGTTTCCTCCCAACTGGGACACCAAGGCCAGTGCACAGAAACTCCACTGGGAGAGGTTTGGGATCCTGGAAAGTCCCTGAGGAGTTCATTTGTAACACTAGGGTACATTCTAACAAGTTCATTATGCGGCATGTGGCAATGTGTGCAAAGAAAGAACTGTCCCAGAGAAGTCTTTGCCAAGACAGGGCTAAGCTGGTGAGCAAGCCTAGAAGCCCCATCTACAGAAAGTATAAGGGAGACAGAGGGGCCTCCATAGGTTGTAGACATCTTTCTGCAGAGTAGGAAGACTTAATGTTTTAGGAAAGAGTTCTGGACTAAAAGTAAAACTACGTCAGGGCTGGAATCCTTGCTCTGACACTATCTGGCAGTGGGATCTAAGGACATCGCTTCCACATTGGAGTCATTCTAGCAGGGAGTATAGTCATAGACAAATAATTATAACAAAGTTTGATAAGCATCTGGCAAGGGTAGTAGATCAAATAATGTAGACTTTCAGAGCAAGATAAAGCCAAGGTTGAAGGCAGGAGCTTGAAGGACCAAGTCCCAAGGGCAGGGAATGGGAGTAAGAAGCTGAGCCCTAGTCCTAGAGAATCCAAGGCAGGTCATCAAGGAAATCTCAGGGCTCATTATTACAAGACCAGGTGCCAACAGAAGCTTGTTCCTCAGAAAGCATTGTACCAGACAGCACAGGTGAGTTACCTGGGAATCTTATTTTAATCCAGATGTTCAGAACTCACACCCAGAAATTCTGATTCTTATGGTCTGAGGTGGAGGCTAGGCACTGCTATGTCTTCAAAAGCTCCCCAGGAGTTCTCAAGTGTAGCCAAGGTTGAGAACTTTTGTAGTAAGAAAATATCTCTGAGAGACAGGGCCTGCCCCTTAGTTCCCATTGGATGCCAGCGCCCAACTCTGGGCTTGCCAGATAGAAGATGCTCAGGATATGTGGCCTGAACAAAGGGATGAATGTTGTGTGACTAAAGCAAAGTCACCAGCCAGTTACTAGAACTAGAGCAAGGGCAGGAATAAGACTGACCTTATACTGGTTCCCTGACCAAGGATTTCCTGCATCCCTCTTGACGATGAACAAAATTGGCCCAAACCTTGAAGCTGGAGGAAGATAAAGCCTTATGTGGAGACCCCAGAAAAGAGAGAGAGTGGATGGAAGGTATACAACAGCCCATAACAGATCATGGACTGTACAGTGAATCTGAAGCACACATTAATGACTACTAAGCCTGATTGAAGATATCCCATCTTTATTAATGTATCCCATCTTTATATAAGTGGACCTCTTCCCTCCACCACTATAGATGGTGATTATTTTCCATTAAAAAGGGGAGCAGTGGAGGAGGGGATAATTGAATCAAGTTATTAAGAAAGGTGAGCTGAACAAGGAACCTCAAAAGTGCAGGGTGGCATCCCACCTCTCCTTTCTGCCTCTCCTGCCCACCCCACTCCATAACCTTACTATCAGAAGTCTTCTCTCCTCTCACTCCAAACTACAGTGCATCCCATTTTAAAGAGATGTAAGATCCACATATCTATGCACTTGTGTATGGGCACATTTTTGATGCTTTCTCTCTTACTAATGACCCCCATCCCTGTGGTTCTAGGTAGGTAGTTGATTTTGGGGGAGAGAGGCCCATGCTTGGCCAATGTGAAACCTCTCAACGGGGATTTCAGCAAAGAGCCCCGGAGACCAGGCTCCTGCTCCTATGTTCCAACCATCAGAACTTCTGAGAATCAGTCAGACTTGGTATCCTCTGAAGACCCTTTGTTATAATGGAAATTCATTATATTTGTTTCTTAGAGATTTTGTGCTTTGCTTCTAACACTCTACTTTCTAAACCTCCCTTAAACTCTCTGCCAGTTCAAATATACTGGGTCAGACGCCCAGCTCTAGGGAACTCCACCCCAAGCAACATCTCTGAGCCAGGTAGACCCCAGAATTCGCCCTGAGTGGAGGGAAGCTAGGAGCCTGGAGAAGAGAAACAAGAAACCCTGTGTACTCAGCAGCAAAAGAATAGCCTAGTTCCCAATTCTCTCTCTTCTAAAGGAACCTCTGCTCTGTGCATGGAGGCAGAGCTGTGGATGAAGCTCAGACACTAGGCAGAGGCTAATTTAAGGCTGCAGCTCCAGATGTGGGAGATATGAGGGGTAGGGTGAGGAGTAATAAGAAAACAGGGATGCACTCATCATTGAGGAAAGGCCTTTGGAGATCACCTAGTCCTGTAATTTTCAAATTTTTTTTTAAAGCAGTTGGCCTTTTTTTATATACAAACTAGTGGCCCAGTGCACAAAATTCATGTGGGGGGGGGCAGGGAGGATGTTCCTTAGCCCCACCTACACCCTCTCCAATCTGGGACCCCACAGGGATTGGGCCTAAATTGGCAGTCGGACATCCCTCTCGCAATCCAGGACCACTGGCTCCTAACCACTCACCTGCTGGATTGCTCATCCCCAACTGCGCACCTCCCCCACCAACCTGATCACCCCCAACTGCCCCCGCTGCCAGCCTGATAGCCCCCAACTGTTCCATACCGCCGGCCTGCTTGCCCTGAGCTGTGCCCCCCTGCCAGCCTGATTGCCCCCAACTGCCCTCCCCTCATGGCCTGATCGCCCCTAACTGCCTCGGCCTTGGCCCCGCCACCATGGCTTTGTCTGGAAGGACATCCGGCAGGTCTCCTGGAAGGTTTCCCAGTCTAATTAGCATATTACCCTTTTATTAGTATAGATAGAGGTCTGGTGCACGGGTGGGGACTGGCTGGTCTGCCCTGAAGGGAGTCCCAGATCAGGATGGGGGGTGCCTTGGGGGGCAGGGCTGGTTTGGGTGAGGGGCTGGG